AAGGTCCCTGCTTTATTCAGCCATAATAGAACTTTTGAGTGAAAAACCCTTAATGGAGCATGTTCTTGGCATTTTAAGCCCTAAGTGCCATGCATGAACGTAAAGCTCGTGACTTTACGTGATAATCGAGCCTTGAGAGTGTAGATCTAGAGTTTGGGAAGGTTTTCTGCCTTGAAATCGTCTGAATGAGAAATGAGTCTGATTAGACTCGCCGAGTCGATGAGCCGACTCGACGAGTCGGTTAGGGTTGTCCCGATAAGCTTGATCATATGATAGCTCGGTGAGTTGGGAGTTAACTCGATGAGCTGAGTTGGACCTTCCCGAGACTTCTAAGGAAACGAGTGGACTCGGCGAGTCACATGGGTGCACTCGGCGAGTCAGGTCAAACATGGACTGTTGACTCGAGTTTGACTTTTGTTGACTTTAGGGTTTGGTCAACATGAGTAATGGAGACCATGGAGGGGTAAAATGGTCTTTTACCCATTCCAAGAGTTATAGAGAGAAAGAGAAAGAGAGAGAGAGAGAGAGAGAGAGAGAGAGAGCAACCTTTGGTATATTTAGAGTATGAGTAGAGTATTAATTAGAGATAATTATTCTATGTGTTAGGCGGAGGCTAGTTCGAGATTCCGTGTACGAGATTGTTACTTGCTATCTTACGAGGTGAGTCTTCTCACTATACTTACCTTGAGTGGTAATCTACGTGTGATCGGAGGGTCATATGTGCATATACTGTGTATTGAGATATCCTGCTTATTGTCTTGTGATATATATATGTTGTGTACTATATTGAGTTGCCGAGTTGAGGGACCGGAGGGTCCAGTAGAGTTGTGGGACCAGAGGGTCCTACTGAGACACATTGACCGGAGGGTCTTATCTGAGTATAGCCATGAGAGGCTAATGAGATATGTGTGGTATTTTGGGGAACTCACTAAGCTTCGTGCTTACCGTGTTATGTGTTATGTGTTTTAGGTACTTCTCAGGATCACGGGAAGGCGCCGACTTGATTGTACACACATCAGAGTTTGATTTATGTTTTGAGAGGATCCTGGAGTTGTTATATATACAGTTTTTGGATATGTGTTTGATGATTTGATATTGTGACACTTTTGATATTTTTGGATTGAGAAAATGTGTTTTTAAATTGAAAATTTTGGTTTGAAAATTTACGTTGTTACATATGATACCTTTTCCTCAACAATTTCATGCAACTTAGTAAGGGGAAGGGAGATGCAAACTCTATAATGACCTGCAAGCAAAAAGAATGAGAGTCAATACGAGCATATTACGATAGATTCATGCTGGCAATGCTCAACGTCCCGAGCCATGAAGAGTTCCTTGTAACTGTCGCCTTCGCCTAAGGTCTACTCCTCGACCCTATGTCAAAGAAGATGCAGGGGACTGTACCTCAGTCGAGAGACGAGCTAAAATACATAGTCGAGAAATACCTCTGACAGATCGAGTGTGAGGAAAGGAAGGAACCTAACATAAAGGCTATCACAAGCATGTACATTAAGCAAGAAAAAGAAAACTCTCATCTTGCGCAGAGACCTAACAACCGAGATCACCATGATAGAAGCCATGATAACATAGCCGACACTCGAGACACCCATCTTGCAGATTTCGCCCATTTGGTAAAGATGAGCCTCGGAGCCACCAAACTGAGGTCCATGCCATTGAAAAAACACCTCCAAAGGTGGACAAAGAGAAAGGGAAATATTGTGAGTATCATAAGAGCAAAACCCACGATACCGGCGAGTGTACAGTTCCGAGGAAGGAAATGGATGAAAAACATCTAACCGGCGACCTCACGAAAATCACAAAAGATTTAAGGTCCAAGTTTGATGCTAACCAGAGAAATGCTCGAGATCGAAAAGATGCTGACAAGAGCCAAATTAAGGAGGAGATCATTTCCATCACGAGGTCCTGTAAGAGGAGCGAGTGCTGCGAAACGGATGACGACATCGAGGTACTCCTTAAAAACATCCTCAATATTAGTTTTTCATCAGAGGATCCGAGGATGCCAGACTGGAACCCCAGGTATCCGATCTTGATAACCGCTTGTATACGTCAGATACAAATCAACCGTGTCTACATAGACAATGGCAGCGGTACGGACATCCTTTATGAGTACTATTTCCAATAATTGTCGACTTCCTGGAAGGAAAGCTTAACTCCTCTGACCGTCGGTCCCCTCATAGGGTTTACAGGGCCCAGCTTATCGCCACTAGGAACGATACATCTCTCTCTTACTATAACTAGTCATGACGGGAGAGACAGGGTCACACGTGCGATAAGGTTTTCAGTAGTATGCTCCCCGACAGAGCACGACATCCTGCTCGGGCGGCCAATGCTTTTCCAACTACGATCCATACCATTAACGATCCACGACACTGTAAATTTTAGCACAAGCACTAGATCGGCCACTATCGTTTCCCTTAACCCGCGCACACGCTGTTACTATCAGGACCTTGCTGACCCAGGGCTAGTGCGAATCTCAATCAACAAAAAAGGGGGGGAAAGTTGACAAGAAGAGCAAGACAACAAAACCTGAATCCGTAAGGCGAGTAGGTGAAAGCACCCAGGAATCGATCTCCCCTAGCTGGGTCAAAAGCCGAATGGCAACAAGAAAACATGGAAAGCCACACCAAAAGCGCATCGATTACCTTAAACTGAGCGAGGTAGTTCAACCCCACAATACCACGAAGATGCAGATGATGCCATGTACAAAAAGAGTTCATTCTGAAGGAAAGGAAGGGCCAATCTTTGGATGGCCAAGTAGAAATCACCTCGAATCAGAGCAAAATTCAAAATCCCCTCATAGAAAGCAAAACAACAGACAAAGAAGGACTTAGAACAGACCTCTGCCAGGTACGGGAAGCTGGAGTAGAACTCTCTCCAACACTCGGTGAGTCTCTATCTATCACCGAAACGGATGATGCCACCCATAGGGCTAGAGATCTGAAGGGCAAAAGATACCAAAATACAGAGAAAGAATTGATACAATCCAGCAGGGATCCCAAAGTCGACCAGACTCCCTAAGAGAAAGTTGCAAACACCGACACTCCGAACATTCTGCCCTTAGCATCTTTCTACCGCCAAATCAAGAAGGTATCAACTGAAGCTCTCTGGGGAAGAGACATCAGCACAGAACATGTCACCAATGCCACGTCTGTCTCTAATCGACTCAAATGTTTCCTAGATCACTCCTCATGTGGGTCCTTTCCAAGCGACTCCCCAGATAACAAGAAGGCCATCGCTAAATTTGTGCGACTAGCAATAGAAAAGGTGCAATCAAGAAAAGAAAGATATTGGACCATAGAAAAGAATCAAGCAAGTGAAACTAGAGCACGAGGAGGAATGAGAGCCTTTGCTGGAAGGATGTCTCACCTAGGAGCGCATCGGACCGTCACCCGAAATACGATATTGAACTCCCATAAATCATTGTTGGGGAATGCCCAGAATATCAGATATTCATTCCTTCTCGAAGCCAACACGCCATGAATTTAACCAACAACCATCGGTTACTCGGTCAATGGGGTATCGACATCATGGGGACACCCCCCGTCAACCCAGGAGGAGCCAGGTTCTCTTGGGTCACCCGACCATTCCATTAGGCGGGAAAAAGGTAAGCATCCATCAGGATCGAAAAAGGCCCGTGTTAGAGAACCACCAGCAATGTATCAGCTCCATCGCCAGTCCCCAAGGCCCGATGTCGAAGGAATACCCTTCAAACGGAAACAAAGAGCGAAAACAATGTCACCACTTGGGATTGCAAACAGGACGTTACGAGTGACAAACTTTCGTAGAACCACCAACAAAGCGAAGCAACGTCCAAACATGAACATACTCAATGAGAAACATGAGACCGTTAGACTCAGCCAGGCCGCCCACAGGGGAAGTGCCAAAAATCACCACACTTGGTGTATGCTAGTGGAAAGCTCTGAGGCAGAAAACTGGGCATTGGAAAAGAATGAGTCTAGCCATGCACGACCACAAAGCCAGCTAAACGCCACCAAGGAATATGCAAGTAGGACCACAAAAGTGCACAAAGATGGAATTGTTGTCCCAAGAGTTCAGAACGAAGGAGCCATCCCCTGGACTTGGAGTGCGTGCAGTTTGCACCACCACTCCTAGAGCAATGAAAAAGGTTCAGATAAGGCACATCCGAGGCAAGGGTAATGTGGTCAAACTCCAAATGGATAATCACACCTCAACAAGTCAACCCAAGAGCTAGGCCTTGGCTTAAGCCATGATGTAGTCATCTCTCTCCCTTTACTCACCAAACAATGTACTTTCTTCTAAAACATTATCAATGAAGTGAAGGAAGTTGAATATCAAAAAAAAATTATTAGAACGTTTTTTTACTAATCAAGCTTGATAGAAACTTACACAAGAGATTGAACACGTTTACCAAATGGTAACAAGGACTGATCATCCACATCATTTGAGTGAAACCGTTGTGAGAAATCAACCATAGGCGTCAAAGGCTCATAACCTTTTCCTAAACATGTCGATTCAGCCCAAAAGGCCACGAACGTCGAACGCGACATGAATAAAGGATTCAAAGGCTCATAACCTTTCCCTTTAAACAAATAATACCTAATTCGTAAATGCCTTGAGGTGATGATCTCAGCCCGACTTAGATGATTAGGTTCGAAGTGCAACTCTCCAAGGCCCCAGACTTAGGACAAAGTTCCAAAAGGGTAATCAATAAACCTTAGTTAAAAGGGACACCTTAACAAAGCAAACTGGACAAAAAAAACCCAGTCTAGAAACAATGGTCTATAACCCAAAAACAAAGGGAGCCAATTTCGAGCTCCCAACGCGAGCTCCCAGGATGAACCCAAAGGAAACTAAAGTAAACATAAGCCCTAGATTTGTAAGTTGGGTGAATCTAGTAACGTGGCTAAATCGCCAACCCAAAAACCCGCACATCAACCAAAAAGACAAAATTGGCTCAACTCAACCCCCCCAAGGCCAACATAAACCTGGGCGAAGAATTACCTCAACAAGAAAAAATAAGGGCACATGATCACCGGTGGCCAGCATAAACCACCTGAGATTAAAAGCAAAAGCATTGAGGAAATAGAAATAACCACATCATCAAAAGGCAAAAAAATTGTTCTGTCGGACAACCCCCAGACTTAAAAGGGCCACGCAGGGCCTAACAACAATTAAAAATATTATCCTTGAGACATTGTCTATGAAATATCAAAAATCCAAACACTGTTTCACACCTAATACCCAAAGAGGAGGAAAAATATCGCTTACCAGGAGGATTGGAGGAGGGCCTGGTCTTGGAGGAGTCACCTTCAGGATGGTCCCCTTTAGCATCCTGATCGCGGCACAATTGGCGAAGGCCTTCCATGTCTAGCTCACCAAGGCGAAGATAGGAGGCAAAGTCTGTCTCCATAAAAGATTTTACAGCATCATGCATCCCCTGTGTATGCTCCACAACGACGCTCGGTTCCCCGAAGACAAACTTCCCGGTGACAACTTGCTCACAGACTGCTTGTCCCTCCCCCCTCCACGCCGGTGGCCATGCACACCGCCTTCTTTTTACTAACCCCAAGGGAGAACTCAGCCATGTCCACCACCCGGACAACACCCTTTTGAAGTAACCATGCCACATCCTCCTCTGCACCTTTCCTCCTCAGAACCTCCACCTCCAGCTGCCTATGTTGTTCTTCCACTCGAATCTCCAACACCTTATTCTCCTCCACCAAGGTTTCAATCCGCTGAGAAAAGCGCTCCACCGACCCATCCAACTCTGCCACCTACTCCCCCACAGACGCCTTCTCCCCAGCCAAGAGGTCATAAAGCTCCTCGAATTTGCAATTCTCCTCCTCCAACCCCAACACTTTTGTCCTTAACTCGTCCCTCTTTTCCCTAGCAGAGGAAAGATCTGCTGAATATGAATTGACCTAGCGAAGGCATCGAGCAACGACCACCTAGTAAGGAGCAACCTCAGTCGTCGCATACTGGATACGGTTGGACATGTGAGAGTTGGAGAGGAGCTCCAGAGCTTCGATTGTGGTCGGAGGGAAAGTATGACGACCTCACTCATTTGCAACAAGATGTTTCATAAGAAGGGACTCTCGAGTGAGCCCCCACCTCAGGATGTAAACTCTAGGGGCCGCCAGGGGAGAAGAAGAGGAACTTACAATAACATTATTCTTCGTCGGAGGCGAAGCAAAATCAAAGGACGTTTGAAACTTAACCCCAAGCTCCTTCCCTATAGAGCCTTCACCGGGGCCGATAGCATCTCTTAGGTCTTCCTTTGGTTCATGAGGCAGTTCAATTGCCTCCTTATTCATTCCCTGTTAGGGTGAAAAGTTCTCCTTAGATGTGGAGTGTAGGCTTACTCTCTTGTATGTGTCAATGGATTGAATCTTTCCTATAATTAGGAAGTGAGTGACTCTCATTATGTAAGAGACCCATTTTGGAGAGTTAGTTTAGTGAGAGAAATAACAAAACCCACTTGTACTCTTACTATTCTAATGGAGCTTAAACATGATTATTTACTCTTGGTGTTCTTGATGTTTGTATAATTCACTAGATCTTTTCAATTTCGCACAAGTTGTCACAATTAGGATTACTACAATTGATATGAGAGCGGGTGTTCTTGAAGCTATCAAGAATTGATCCATGATGAGTACATGATTTGAGTGAATCTTCATTATTGTGGGTTCTTCATCTTTGAGAAAGTTTATGTTCTAGAAATCAAATTTTTCCTTGATTTGATCCATAATTCGATTTTCTCTCTCTAGAATACTTGTTTGTATCACTCTCTCTCTCTAGAAAATTTTCAAGTTCTTGTGATCATGGTGTATTTGGCTTATGATTCTTGGATTGTGATAATTGAAGATGTCAAATATAAAGTCAACGAGAAACAATTTTATGGGTTATTGTTGAAAGGTGGGATGATTTAATGGGAAACTTTGACTTCTTATGGAGGATTGAAAGATGATCAAGGAAAGTTGATATTTCAACCTCTTAATACGATTGATTGTTTGATTCAAATTTCCATAAATATGTTATCTTGGAGTGCTAATCAAAAGGAAGGCAAAGAAAGAGAATTATTTGATAAGGAATATGTTTCTCTTATTGAAGACCCAAATGATCTTCATGTTCTTAAGTTTGTTGAATTTCAAGAAATGGGAATTCAACGTGGTTTTGATGAAGATGTGAAAGTTTTTCGTTCAATTGGAGTTCAAACCGATGAATGCGTGAATTCTTGTGATTCGTTTAAAGGAATGGTGCCTTATCGAAAGCCTTCAGTTCAAGAAGTTCAAATGTATCAAACTCCAAAAGATTTGATTCAAACCTACGAAGTTGAAGTTGTCAAGAATGAAGTTGTTCTTGAATTCAAATCTTCAAGATCCAAGAAGATGAAAAGGAAGAAAAAGAAGAAGAAGATCAAAAGTAAGAATAAATGGGCTTCTTCACAAAAATCATCAAATGTTGTATTGAAGCCGAAATCAATGAAACAGATTTGGGTTCAAAAGCAACAATCATCAAATGTTGCAATGAATTTGAATTCAAAACCCAAAAGTGTTGATGGTTCTTATGAAGATGATGCTAGATCGTTGAAGAACACGAAGAACGGTTTATAAAACACACATCGTGGGTGGTACAATGTGAAAATTGGAGATTTTCGTTTTCCAACAAAAGAACCAAGATCTTCAATGATTGATTCATGTGTTGCAAATGGAAAAACAATCATCAAGAAGGTGTCTCAAATTCTCAAGTGGATTCCAAAAATTCATGTTAAGATCGATGAAAAACGATCCTTTTTTTTCGAAATTCAATTTTAATTTCGATTCGTGCGTTTCATTTTTCATTTTTGATCGTTTTGATTCTTTGGATCTATTTCATTTCAAACCCCATTGTTGATCAAAAATTTTTTAATTGATCTAACCTAAAACCCAAAATTGGATCCAATTAATTTTGATCCCAAATTTCGAAGTCTGTATTGTTCATCTAAGCCCAAACTTGAATCAGGTTCTATTTTTTGAAACAAAAGAACAAATGATATTGTTCATCTATTTGTCATTTGATATAATAATCTATTATATCTGTTCTTTTTCATCATTCATCAATCATCATCTGATTTTCAATTTGCTTCCATCATTGTTCATGAGCCATGCTCGTTCTTGAGTTTTCTCACAACTTTCATCTTGATGGTTGAAGAGTCAATCTAGCAAAGTCAAAATCGAATTTTCTAATACAATTTAGTGCTGACGAAGTTCTGATCTTGAAATCGATGGCGGTTGAATTCGAAATCAGGTTAATGGATTGGATTTTTGATTGTAATCTAGCAATGATCTCGTGATTGAATCAATCGTTTGAAACAAAATTGGAACGAGGATCTGGAGAGTAAAAATCAAGAGCAAAGTCAAAGTTATATCAAATCCTTGGTTAATTGATGTTCGTTATCAAATCAAATGGTGATTTGGTGAATGATTCTCACAATATACTCAAAATCGGAACGAATGTGATGATTTGGAGTTCGACATGGTATGGAATGTATTTTGGGGTTAGAGATCGAAGGTTCGATGTTGGTACTTTTGGTTTGGATGTCGAATGTTCATTTGCATCAGATTGTATCTCATCTTGGTGGTCTCATAAAGGAGTCTTGTATTTGGAGTTTAACAAGATCCTATATCAGCTATACATCCTCCTTGCATTTATCCCGGAGACGTCGCCAGTGCTATGGGCTTTGGCTTATGTAGATAAAAAATGATGAATGGGATTGTGGCACTCCACTCGCCGCCAATGCGGAAGGATGACGCCGAAAAGAATAGAAGGCTCTTTCGCTCTGCTGCATGCGTCGGATCCCGTAGAACATGTCACAACTCGAAATTTTAGACCTAGCATGGTCAAAACCCTAACCTAGTGCAAGCGAAACCACAGTGCAATCCTTGTTGCATTTTATCATCTATAGCCTTACGGCTTGTTAAAAAAGTTAACAAATAGGTATGAATTGAAAACTTAAGCTAAATTAGGGTGTTATAAATGAAAATAGGTTGAAAGACTAAGGGTTTAAAACATAAATAACCCTCATTAATTGAGTTTTCACCCAGAAATCAATGCATTAAAGGAGTTCACGCCTAGAATTAACTCCAATTGGGAGCTCACGGCCAAAAATTCACTCCAAATGGATTTCACGGTCCAAGAAGCTTCTTCTTGTGTAGTTCACGACCATAGTTACGTGAAAACAAGGGGTTCACGGCCAAGCTTGACCGTGAACACCCTCTTATTGGGCTGAAAACCCATTTCAAGTCCATTTGTGGACCGTAAACCCTATGGCCCAATGCCATTTCAACCCTAAACACCCCCTATATATGTGTGTTTACACCTAAATCAATTCATTTCCTCATTTCTCAACCGTGAACCACTCCAAACTTCTCTCAATCTTCAACCGTGAACAACCCCATTTCCTTTCAATCTTCAAGGGTTTACGTCCAAAATCTTCAAATCTTCATATTTCCCCATCAAGAACATTCAAACCCTCATTCAAATCTTCAAGCAATATTCAAATCTTCATAATTCTCAAGATCCAACCGTGAACCCAATAAACCCAACCGTAAACTCCTATTTTGCAACCAAAAACACTTTGCAACATTTCCAAATAATTCCTATTAATTTTGTAAGTCTTCCTTATACAATTAAATTATTATTTAACCCTTATTTAAATTAATATTCTTATTAATTTAAATACGACGTCGGAAATAATTATTTTAGGATAACGTTATTTCGTACGTACGATAGCCCGAGGATCGCTTCTACCGTTTCGCTATCCAAACTACGAACACGTAACGAAGGTGAGTTCATACCCCTACATTTTCACTATTTTTTCAATGTTTTAGGGGGGGGGGGGAATACAAGTAAAACATAAAATAATTTTGTGTTAACTTTCAAAAAATTTCAAACAGTTTTAAAGCATATCAAGTCGTTTCAACTGATTCAAACTATTTTAAATTGTATTTCAAACTACTGCAAATGTTTTATACTTTTATTTCCTGAAGTACATCTTTATATATATGCCTTCTGCATATATGCATATTATCTTATCTAAATAAAGTTTTAACCCTTTTGTAACTTGTTGAGCAAAAAGGGTACCTATCTCATCGTTTTATCATGTTATTCAAACTGTTAAATTACCAAGACTTTCATTGCATACCGGACATACATTTAAGCTATAATAGGTATAGTTTGTGAACAAATACATTATTTTACTAAGTTCAAGAAACATACAATAAAATACGTACAAACTACTAAAATTATAGTTTGGGGAAAACGCAACATGATTTTACAAAGTTCAGGGACACTACACAGAAAAGTATATAAACTATAATATGTATAGTTTATGGAACACTACTCTATTTCACTACTTCAAGGATACACTACTAAAATAATTATTAAGTATAATTATTTTACACTACAAAGTAATACATACAGTTTCAATTACAAGAGAACACTATAACACTACACGTAAACTAGTTAATATAGAGTTGTGAGACACTACTTCGGGTACCCACCAGGGTACAGGTTCATGTCCTATAAATTATAACCAGAGTCTCCCGGATGGAGAGCGTGAGGTTTGTGTATAGATCTATACGGGACTGA